TATAGATATAGAACGATATATCTGGGGAAGTTTTAATGACTTTTTCTAGAATCTATGGATAAAAGCTTGTCCTGCCATTCGTATTATATCTTCTACTTTTGTCACCGATAGTTCTAGCGTTAAAAGTGAACGAACACGGTCATTATACGGTTTTATCGAAGGAAATTCGTACCCTGCCGTGCGAAATCGTCTCGAACGAGCGATCCGGATCCGCTCGGACTGGCAATCGGTCGTACGGGGGTGAAAATCGTGGCACGTGACCCGCGGGTACTCGCTCACAGGGGGAAGCTGGCCCTGCACCACCGGCCCTCTTCTTTTCGAGTTACCTTTACTGCGTTTACTATTCTCCATTGTACATGACTACCATACGGGACCGTGCAAAGGAGGCTGCGAGAGAAATCGCGTGAGTCATCCGTGCCGAGCGGTTTCCATTGGCGTAGAACAATCCCGCAATACTTTCGTTGAAGTATCAACGAGATGGTCCTACATACAGTGAGATACACTGGCTCGCGAAAGTATTTTTCGCGCACTTGTCGTACGAAGCTTTTACGCGCACATCGTACGTGTGAAACGAAACGTTTTGAAATTTTCATTAGCGCCGTAACGAGACACGGTTATTGCGATTACATTGATAAAATTTCGGACCAATCTAATAACGCATGTAGAAGTTACAAAATATTAATTACAAGCATATAAAGAATTAGTATGCGGTATAAATAGAGATGATTTCTTCAAATATCGCGAGTCATTCGTACACACAATGAATAATTAACTGTTTGGTGATGTGTATGAAGTGCACGCTTGCAATAAATATCTTTATCTCGTTTGCAATAAATAACTTCTATACATGCCTTCAGATTCATTTCCAATTCTATCGGTATAATCACCATAGACGATCATGATGAGTCTCATAATGGTGTTAATTTGTAGGACACACGATATACGGTTGCTTATAAATTTATCATTACATTGTTCATAATTTAATTATCAATTAAAATAAAAAGCTTACACCGAAAATACTTTGAAACGGTGGTATTTCTCGCTTCCAATACATCGATTCGATATTCCAGCAATTCCCAAATCTGTCCAAAAATAAAAGGTGTAAGAAGAACCTTATCGATAAAGTTCAGAGACAAACTATCCTCCTATCAAACTCTCAAAACGATATCGTTACTTTCGTACGCTTTCTCACATCCCATCCAAAACATGCACAGAGGAGATTCCTTGCTCCAGCGACGCTATCTGCGAAAGTAGTCTGCGACAAAAAAAAAAAAAGAAAGAAAAAAAGAAATGAAAAACGAAAAAGAAAGAAGTCTTTTATGAGATCCATTTTCTAGAAGGTCGATGGAATGTCGTGTCGCCGTTGGTACGCCGCTTCACGACGGTAAGAATTGTATTTCATTTTAAATGGCCGTTTCATCGCGCAGCTTCCTCGATATTACGACTCGCGGAGAATACCCGACGTTCTAGTAACGATTTCCTTTGTTCCATCGCGAGATAAAACGACCCTTGGTCACCGTTCACCATTCTTCGTGCGATCGTAACGCGATCGTTAAGGAACCAGCTTCGTTCACTTGGTTTACACGTTAAATCAAATTATGTAATTCGTCGCTACTGGTACCGATCATAGCAGATATGCGGGCGCTCTATACGAATTTTAGTAGTCCCATCATCGAGCGTGACTTTTAAATACAGTGGGGAAATTCTTTTTATACACGTATCCTTTTACGTATAGAAATTTCCTTGCGTAACGATCATTGTGGGAAAGCATAGGTGAAAACGATCTTTTCTCCTCCTTTCAATGGAATAATCGTTGCGTGTGATTTTTCTAGACAATGGTAGGATCTCTTCTTTTACACGCGTCCTTCTATTCCAATATACAAATTTTCTTTATACAACGATTATTGCGTAGACGAAGGATTTTTCTTCTTAATGAAATAATCGCAAAAGATGAAACTTTTGTTCATTTGTTACTAAAGCATATAAAAATTGCGCTATTTTCATCTGAAAAAAGGAAATACATTACGTCTCGCGACTATAAAATCTATCAAATAATTGTCAATCTGAGTAAAATGGTAAAAACACTAATTTTTTTCTTATTTCGTAACTACAGAACCAACCTGACAGAATATTTTACAGAATATTTTGTTTCATACATTGTTTTCTGACCATGTCCTGCCTATAAGAAACTACAATTTTAGGATGGTACTATATTCGCGGGACGCGGCGTATAATATGTACACATATCCATGTGGAAGGGAAAAGTTTGATGAAAATCCTCGGTTACCTACGTCACTGTACCCCGAGACTCGATGCATCAGTCCAGCTTGCATCTGTATGTATTTAAGCTGGGGGGAGCCCCTATGTGACATCATCCCCCTCCATACGTGCGGCCGATTCGTTTCGCTGGCTGACTTCTGTCGCCTAACTCGAAAACACCCCTGGACCCTGCCACCTCCCTTTACCTTTAATCTTTATCAATCCATCCAGCCGAGCCAGAATCGAACCAAGGAACGGACGGCGCCGCGCATTATTCACGCCCGATAGCTCCTCAACCCTCCGCTCGTCCGTCGAGCCTTACCTTCCACCACCGACGCCACCCCTTTTTCTCACCCCCTCTCTCAACCTAAATACTTTTCGCAGAGTTCACCAACGACTCACTTTAACGACTCGATTCGCGATACTTGTCACGATCGGCTCCGCTAGGCGATTTTGTTTTTGAAGATTTCTTATTCGACAGAATCTGCAATAGGATTGACAGGGTTGATTAAAGGGAAGGACTTAGTGGAACTGAGAGTTGGGAAATCTCTTTTGCGCAGGGTAATTGTATCGCGTGTATCGATTGTACCGGTAATTATGAAAGTGATGTAACTGCACGATGTAACAATTTTTGTAAAGTAGTGGAAAATTGAATCTTTAGATAGATCTGGTAGTTGTGTCGTTAAACAGAATTTGGCTGAAGCGTAAAATGCGAAACTTGAAATATCTCGGAACGAAAAATATAAGTGTGATTTAATTGTCTTGCCACTTTCATAATCGTCGGCACAATTATCGATCATTAGATCTCGGAATTTAAAAGCGCGAGGATATGCATAATATGAAAAAATATATGAGTATAAAATATAGCGCGTTACTCGAAAGTAATAGTATAAATATTCGCAATTTATTAATTGTTAAAAGTATGTAAAAAGGTGGAAACAAATAAACTGTTTATTTGATATAGTTGTGTATCTTTCATAATACACATGTCACACAGTATAGTATAATAATAGAGAATTTGTAAAAAATTTGTGAATTATTCTTTAGCACAATAACAATATTTCTATAGTTTTCTCAATTATTTGTTATTGTACCCTTAAGAATTGTTTAATATAGCAATGCCACATTTTTCAAAAGTTTGCCAATTACTTTATAGTAGCAGTATTTCTTCATAGTTTTATTAATTATTTACCGTTGATATCTTAAGCATTTGGTATTTAAAAAAACAATTCGTAACTAATTTTTGTAGATATCCAAGTACGTTCTATCGTAAAAATTATATTAATATAATTATATAGAAAGAAAATAGTTAAATCAACAATATTGCTACCTTTAAATATTTTGCAATTCTCCTTTAAAAAATATATAATGTTCAATGAATGCATATCATAAAATATACCATATGTTTTATTAAATATACTCCATTTTTCGAATCGAGTGACATATTTGTTTGATTTTTATACATTACCATAATGAAATACCTGTTCGTTTAGAGGAAATACTATCCCAGTTTACAACCGAAATAGGCGTACAGGTAGGTGGAGTCTTGTGTACAGGGGCAACCAATAATCGCCACACCTCTCAGTCATCGTTTTCTTCTGTTACTTTTACCTGAAATAGAAACAGGTAGGTTACGAAAGGCAAAATAAAGATCTACAAGATATACATACACAGATCTAATAATACCATTACATATATCGTACACTAAACCTCAATGCCTTCTAACTTATTTGAAACTTATAATGTATCGAATAAAAAAACCGTGTTGACGATTGAAAACTAATTTATTATTCTGTTGAATTATTTATCTTTATACTATGAAATATTTGTAATAAATAAAAATTATAATAAATTGTACATTCTGTTTAAACAGGTTATCTGTATACTATATATATATATAATTTAAACTTACATTAAATTTTTATTATCTCTATCAATGTTGATGCTGTTTATAAATAAACGAAGCGTATAACACAATTTCTCTACATAATTCAAAATTCTTATTGTTCGAAGTAATAAGTAAAAAAAGAAGAAATAAGTGGACAGATAGTGGAAATAGGTAAGTTTCGTTAAATACAGCTTATTTGCACAAAGATGTAAATATTAACTTCAACAATTTACTAAATAATCTATATGTATTATAGGAATGTACAATAAATATAACTTAGATATATAACATTAGTGCTATTTCAATAATTAAACTTCATTGATGCTTACTTTTACTATCTGCCCACTTAATTTTATCCCTGATTACATATTATCATACTTGTTATTATAATATCATAGAATACTCTGTTATCTTCTTTATTCTTCTCGTCGTTCCCGCCAGAGACCTTCGTAAATTTCTATTTAAACTTATAAAAAATCCAATTTCCGGTTATTGCTTTGTTTTACGCAATCGTTCCGCGATTACGCGTTCCAGAAGACATCCACATCGCGTCTCATTTATGCTACCTTTTTCCTTTAACCAATGGAAGCCGAATCGGAGTTCGACCAATCAGAATCACGATCAGCGGTAAACATTTCTAGAACTTACTTGGAAACTACCAGTAGGAAAACTTTTGCAAATTTTATCATGGATCTCGTTCAATTTTGCATATTCACGAATTTTATTTCTCTTTAAAAAAGCAACGGTATCTACAAAATTTATAAAAATCGTACATTCGAAAGATTTCGAAGACACTTTCAGTCGAGCCAAAATTAGCTCGCTGAAAATTGGAAAATAGTTAATAAATATGATTGTTCGAATGGACCTATCAGCGTTTCGCAAGCAAGACCCGTGATTCCTTGCGCGTTGGAGTTCAGATCAAGGATTTCTGATCGGTCGTCGTAGTTTGAGGAGGTGAAAAAAAGTGTGGAGGTGCTTTTATTCGATATTCTTTATGAAATCTTACATTTAACGGTTGGCTCCTGAATTTCTTTCGCAGCCGTAAGTAACGAGAACTTTATTATCCCACAAAAATTATTCGTGAGAGTGTGATACTGATTGCGACGTATCAGGAACGCAAGGAATCGAGGCGATTCCAGGCGAACGTCAGTCTTTCTGTTCCTTGTCGATGCCAAAATGTCTAATCTAGCGTGATCTGTTGTAGAGGGTACAATACCTCGTAACTAAATACGTACATATTTAATACATCGTTCGAACCTACGATTTTTTATCGCGTATTCCTTTGGAAGTAATATTTTTCGAGGCTACACCCCACCCCCGAACATTGAATTAATACCTAACCCTCAATAGTCCATTGTCAAGCAGCTTCAAGGTATTCCCAGAGTCCACTGATAATTTCACTACTTCCTACATAGCGAATAATTTTTACATGTTTTTTTCAGCTATGTTACATCTCGTTATTAAACAAGTATATTTTGGTCGGATTGGTCTGATTATTGTATCAGTATCATAATTGTTATTTTTATATAGCATATTTAATCTATCATAGTACATCTATCATACTGTGTACATATCTTATAGCACTATATACCGTAGTAACAATTGTTTTCTGTATCTAATATTACTGATATTGACAAGTAGGTCGAATATGTTTGCAACTGTAAATTATTATTTTTGTTCCTAGAAGGGTAATTATATATGCGCGCGCGCGCACACACACACACACACACACGTTAATTGCTTAATTTGGAAATTTGGTAAGGGAATTATTTTCAAACATATACGCTATTTTTGGAGTATATAGCAATTGATAAAAAGATTTAATAAAAAATTTCTATAATTTAATGTGTTAATTATACTTAATGGTTAGTCTTAATTTTATATATGTAAAATAATTATTTTTATTAATACATTTTATATTTCTTTCATATCTTTGATTATATAGGGAAACTGAAAGTGTTACATAATAAACATGAAACTTACACTAGATATATTAACTTTAATTGAGTTATAGTTTCAATATTGTGCTTATTGTGCTTAATGTATTATGATTGAACTATAATATTAAGACAGTTTGCAAATATCTTTTTAGATGTCAGCCGCAACTACACATAAATATCGTTACAAAAATGTGGGCTTGGACTCCCAAGAACTAAGACGACGTAGAGAAGAGGAAGGCGTTCAATTAAGAAAACAGAAAAGAGAACAACAGTTATCGAAGAGGCGCAATGTTCCTAACATAGTTACTGTTGATGATGATAATGTTACAGCAAATGAATCTGCTTTTGCAGCACCACAATCAGTAAGTTCAAATTATGAATATAAAAATAACAAATTCTAAATACTCAAACATATTTTGTTTCTTTTACAGAAAACCGCCATTATGGTACTTGAAATGGTGCAAGAATTGTATAGTCCTAATCCGGAAGATCAATTGGTTGCTACACAAAAATTTAGAAAAATGTTGTCTAGGGAACCAAATCCACCGATAGATGAAGTTGTAAAAACTGGAATTGTACCTAAATTTGTTGAATTCTTGCAGAACAATGCAAACTGTACGCTACAGGTTAGTAGCTTGAAGGTCATTCTTGAAGCAATAAATATTTCGTATGACATTAGTTTGAAGTTACTTGACCTTCGAATTCTGTAGGAAGCAATAAATATTTGATATCTCTTTAGTTTGAAGCTGCTTGGGCTCTAACAAATATAGCAAGTGGAACGTCTCAACAAACACGTGTAGTAGTGGATGCGGGAGCTGTACCTATCTTCATATCATTACTTGGTTCGGAATATGAAGATGTACAAGAACAAGCAGTTTGGGCATTGGGTAATATTGCAGGAGATAGTGCTGAGTGTAGAGATCACGTATTAGACAATGGAATCCTCACACCTCTTCTGCAGTAGGTTTCAAGCTTCAAGTTTCTTTGCTTTCGTTTATATATAAAATTATACATGAAATTAATTCGTTTTTCTTATTTCTCCATATTAGATTACTTTCTAAAGCAACGCGTTTATCGATGACACGTAATGCGGTGTGGGCATTATCGAATCTTTGTCGAGGCAAGAGTCCACCACCAGAATTCACGAAAGTCGCACCGTGTTTACCAGTTTTAGCTCATTTTCTTAATCATACCGATGGTGATGTTCTAGCGGATGCTTGTTGGGCTCTTTCCTATTTAAGCGATGGACCGAATGAAAAAATTCAAGCAGTTATCGATGCAGGTGTTTGCAGACGTTTGGTAGAGTTACTCATGTAAGTATATGATTTGTATTTGATAATGTATCATTTTTTATTGAAATGTTAATAATGTAAGATATTGGTTTCAGGCATCAGCAGGAAAATGTAATCAGCGCGGCGCTTCGAGCAGTGGGTAATATAGTTACAGGGGACGACGTACAAACACAAATCGTTCTTAATTGTTCTGCGTTGCAATGTTTGTATCATCTATTGAATTTGTCACTAGAAAGTATTCGCAAAGAAGCTTGTTGGACTATCTCTAATATTACAGCAGGAAATCCTCAGCAAATTCAAGTTTGTATACACATTCTTAAGAATGTAACTTTTAACGGTAAAATTTTTTCTTATTAAAAAAACAGGCTGATTTCATTTGAACAGGCTGTCATCGATGCCGGTATATTTCCCGTCCTAATTGATATTTTAACGAAAGCTGAATTTAAGATTCGAAAAGAAGCAGCATGGGCAATCACCAACGCTACAAGCGGTGGTGCACCTGAACAAATACGTTATATCGTTGTTGAAGGATGTATTCCGCCGTTGTGCAATTTGTTAACGGTAATGGATCCTAAGATCGTTCAAGTTGCATTAAGTGGATTGGAAAATATCTTACGTGTAGGAGAACAAGATGCTGCCACGAATAATGGTATCAATCATTATGCGGTACAAGTTGAGGAATGTTTCGGTAAGCATGAAATTAAAAGACAACTAGCTTGATTGCAATTTCATAGAATGATTCTACTATAAATGATTACGATGTTTCAGGCCTAAATAAAATAGAATTTTTGCAATCTCATCAAAATATAGACATCTATCAGAAGGCCTTCGACATAATTGAACGATATTTTGGATCTGAAGAAGAAGATACTCGAGTCGTACCGACTATTGACGCGCAAGGACAACAGTTCCAATTTAGAGCGCCCGATTCATCTCAGCTACCAGTCGAGGGTTTTGAATTTTAATCGACTAGTTTTAACGAGAGCTCCGATTGTACCAGCCGATTCAACCTTGTTTCGTTCGTTGTGTTTACAACTATTTTTCCTGAAAAGGACATTTCCAAAATGGAAGAAAAAAGTTCAGTCAGATACAAAACAGTGGTATAACTACTACGTATATTTTGAATTCGTTTGTATCGGTCAGAATATCAGTAAAAACAAATCTCGAAGTGATCAGTTTTTTGCTCGACGATAAAGATGAGTAAAATGTTTATACACAGTTATTTTAAGTGGTTTTCTCTTATTATTTTAGCTACACCATATGCATCGTTCTAAGTTTACTACAAAAATGCGATTGTGTTTATTACGAACCTATGTCGAATTGTGACAATTCTTTTAGCTGTTAAGCTTTGAAGCAATTCGGATAGATTCGTATGTTCGACCTCATAACATAAACCATATTTAGTATGAAACGTTTAGTTTATTGGAATTAACAAAGTAAACATCTTAGTGCTTAAGTAGAAACAAATAATTACGGAAACAATGATCAGGACAATTTACTACTGAAGTAACATATTTCAAACGACGTACGACTGACTCAGAATTACGAAAAACTTGCACAACTAGCAAGACATTAATGACTGAAGTACGCGACTACGTAGCCAACACGGACAACTTTATGCAACGCGTTACTCACATCCTTACTATATTAGGTAGGAAACATGACCAATTAAACTTTTTTACTGTAAATACGTATCTTGTAATTTTAAGGCCATTTTATACAGAATGTCCTTAAGAAAAAAAGTAACATTTATGTCAGATTAATGTGATTCTATTCTTTGAAAATACATTATATATAAATGCATATCTAATATTTTACTTAATCTTGACATAGACATATTACCAAAATACTTTGATTACTATAAATTATAGAATAATTTTAGTATATTTCTTGTAAATTTAGAAGCTTCGAAATTGTAAATGTACATAATTATGTTTAAACTTCTTATTATACTATTTAAGTTTTCCATATTTAAGAATTTAATTCTTTAATATTGAAATTATAGTGATAAATATTTTAAAAATATATTCATATTTTCTTATAACGAGAATAAATTTTCGTACATATCGTAAAAAAATCGTCCGTAGTCGCGATCTTGTTAAATTTTGGACATTCTGTACAAAAGGTCTGCGACTGTATAAAATGTATTTATTATTTAGGTTTGACGGTACCATGCTATATTATGCAAGATATATAAATATATATAAATATATATATATTAACTACTTTTAGTTACGGACTTATTACGACAGAGGAGGACTGTATTATAAGCAACTCGTAAATGATCATTTTGCTAACACGATGTTTTAGCAAGGTGCATTACGAGCATTTGTTGCCAATTTATAAAATGCATATTAAATAGGATATAAGCATATTGAGAAAAGAATTTTGCCATCTTACGTTACGCACGCTATTCTTAAATGAACAGTGATAAAAATATTTTAAAATATTACTATTGAAGAAATTATATGCAAATGCTTGTTTCTACAGGTCATTCGATTTCTTTGATCTTCCTCGAATATATATATATATATATAAACGTATCACTTATGTAAGCTATTAAATTTTGATACGAAGTAATTATTATAATTTTATAACTTATTTCAGCAATACATTCAATAAGGAAAAGTTCGTAGGGAAAAAATTTTTTGCATGAGTTTGCAAAGATATATTACGTGTTTTTCCTATATAACTAAAAATAAAAAGAAAGATTGTTTTTCTACTGATGCGATTCCATTTGTGGTACAACATAGAAGAAACGCATTGTAAATTGGCAATTAAAGACGTTAACAATACGTGGACGAGGACCGACATGTTACACTATTAAGATACAATCACATGTATGAAGTAAATCTATTCATTGTACTTTACTTTAAAGCTGTATAAACATGTCATTCAAGAGCATAACTGAAATCATGCCAGAGGCATCGATTTTGTTGTTATATTTTTTGAAAATTTGTAGAAACCGCCAAATCCATTGGAAATCTTTATCTGAGAATGTTGATTTTCTGTACTGTCATTTGACGTAATAAAATAAAGTTGAATATTAATATACAAAACTTTTATTCACTCGCTTCAATACTATCCATAATACACTCTACAGTAGCAAAATTATATATTACATCTTGTTAATATTCTTATACTTTTTATTATCACAATGTTATATTAATTAATTATATCCCCTATGTTTATTAAAAGATTATAACTTGTTGTTTATAGAAAAAGAACAATCTGCATAATTGAAATTTGTATTTGTTTCTGGTAAAATGGGTACAATAATTCCATCTGTAAGTCTAGTTACTAGTGGATCTAGAATGTCTTTGTGCATATAATTTGATAATCTTTTAAATATTTGATTTTCAATAAATTCTAATTCTCTTTGAGACGATTTGTACCCATCAACAGTCACAGTTATTATATATATAACATTCTCAACTAAAGGCTTTTCTCTGTCACAAAAATTGTGAAAAGCTTTTAGTGCTTCAGTGTTTATGCTTAATAAATCTTGTATTATCTGAAAAAATATATTCTGATAGAAGTGCTTTTAAATGCAAATTTCACTTAAGAAACAAGAGTAAAGGACCATGTAGATACTCACTATTACTTTTTTTTGTGTAATTCGTTTCCTTAAATTATAAATGACTTGTCCAACATCATTTGGAAAGTCTTTTGGTGTCAGTCTTAAATAATCATTATTACCTAAAATTTTGGCACTCAATTGTCCAAGTAATTGAGCTAAACAATTCAAGGTTTTAGTTTCATTTCCAAACAGAATAATAATTGAAGGTTTTGTAGGGGATAAGATTACATCGTATATTCCAGCTGATATATCATTCCAAATATTAGATCTTTGATTATGAAATCGTGTCTGAATTAGCTGTATTGATTTATGCAGTAAGTTATTTATATCAGTAAAATCTGTTTGTTTTGCTTCAGTAGCTCCCTTCAGATTTTCATGAGTTTTTGTTGAAGTATAAATAAAAAATAGAGTTAAACATAAAATAGTAACACAGAAAAAAAATATGGTATATGTTGGAAAAGACCCATCTGCAGGTTGTTTTTGTGGTTTACATGAGAAAGAACTATTAATGTTAGAAGATTGATTTCCATGAGGGTTATGAGAGCTTCGTTTATGCATCTGCGATCCTATAGGAGAATTACATGGAGTATGAAAAGATTCTTGTAGTATGCTATCTCGTGAAGTATTTACGTTAAGACACCGTTTGGAAATGTTGTAATTACTATTATCTTCATCACTATCATCATCTTTTTCATCGTCATCTTCATCATCGGTATATTGGATATCAGAAATATTACAAATTTCTGAGCCTTGTTGGTTAGTTCTATATATGTTTTTCATTGCCAATGAATTTTTAGAGTCTTTGAAGGAATCGATTTCTTCAATTACTTGTACATTAGTGTCTCTTATGGAACGACGTGCTTTAGGAACAGGTGGTTTAGAAATTTCTATTTGATCATTTGGCTGAAAAGAACATTAACAATATTTCAAATACACATATAACCTTTTGTCATACGCGCAAATGTTTATATTCGTTATTTAATCAATAATTATACAGATTATAATATTATAGATTTTTTCATATTTTATCGATCACAAAATATGTATATTATGAACGATAAAATTGAAGATCTTATATTTTCTTAAAAAATATTTGAGGTACCAAGTTTCACTTAATACCACTAATTTATAAATACACTTTATTTAAATATTATTTTTTAGAAGAGCCACTTGTTGAACTAATTTAGACTATACCATTGTGATTGTTTAAAGGTAAAAAATTTTATAATTCTAATTTTTTATAATGCAGTTTTATACCACATAACCTATAAGAAAACATTTATATCATACAAAATCATAGAGGAAGTATTTTGATTTTGTTATAAATATACTGAATACTACATTAAACAGTTTTATAGGTTATATTGGTAACCCTGTTACTAGATACATTTATGAGAAAAAAAATTACAGCACGTAATCTGTAATGGTGATGACTGTTATAGGAATAATTACTTAGATTTACAATGCATATATACTTCTAGAAAAAATTATTATAATACTATTTAAACAGACTAATTATTACATATTTCTCTGTTATTACATTATCCTTAATTTCCTTACCAAAGAAATTGACTGTAAATTTTATTATCACAAAATGACTTGGTAGAATTACCTATGATATTAATTTTGTAAAATTATTTAAAATAATGGTAAATAAAACGACAAATACGTATTGAAACTTTGTATGTTCAAGCTCTGATTCAAGCAGGAGAAGATTAATCGGTAACATTGTATTATACTATTATGTAAAATACATTTTTACCCCGTTACTGGCACAACATTTATTTACAACGATGAACACATACATATTCATTTAATGATTCATATTTTAATTATGTTCTATGTACCGGAATATATTGATTCATAATACATATATCAAAATTTATAACAGGTTTCTTGTATACCAAAAGACAAGAGTGCTACTTAAAAAGATTGAACATGTACGAATTTTCTATTAAGGTTTGATAAGTGTATCAATTACTTTATAAAATATATATATTTCTACCGATGAATTATTATACCGTACAAAAGTCATCAATCTTGAAAAATATTCGACATTGGTGCCACCACTGATATGCTGTGCCAACATATATGAATCGTTACGGGATGTGTCGCCGAGAAAAATCTATTCCTACTGATTTTATAAACGATCGCAAGCATTGTTCGTTCGCAGGCGTAACAAATACCTGGTTTTCAGGATTCGAGGAATATTTTAGGATAGTTTTATGGTGACGGCATGTGTGTCGATCCGTTAAAGAGAATATGTCATTGGGGTCCACTCACTGCTCTTGGTAGGTCTTTTGTCGAATGCCAAACAATTGAACATTTTTGCTATTCTGAAGTATTAAAAGTGGTAACATACTGTTTCAAATATAATCAGTTTTAGACATGTTACCACTTATAAGAAGAAATTTATTGTAGAAATGTTGTGGGAATAAACTTGACAGATGATTGCTTCCATTTTGTTTTACGTACATCGTAATAAAGTACCGCGAAATTTGAATGCACTTTTGAGATTTTAATTACTTTTCATAATAATTTTTGTAATATACCGCTGTATATACTGTAATATACTACTGAATATATAAATATATTGTTTGAATTAGTTTATGATTTACATTTATTTATATTAATATCGTATTCTTTGACATATTTTTGTGTTTTAGGAATTATAAAAATAATTACTTTGATGACAATACATTGTAGTAGACAGTGGTGGCCACCGCAAGAAAGTTTCTTTGGAGCAGTTAATTTTATTCTTTTCTTTTGTCTTAGTGGCTCTACTCTCTTCCATTTTATTAGTGCTATTTACGAAGGACCTGGATTTCTTCCATTAAAATGGATGCCGGTACCATAATATATTTTTGGATACAGTACAATTTTTTCATACAGAATTTAAAGTGTTTCTTTTTTTAGGGGAAAGTAACAGATACCCAATATTTACAATATTGTTCTGTTTGCGAAGGGTACAAAGCACCAAGATCTCATCATTGCAGAAAGTGTAAGATTTTATATCATTAAATGAATCTGATAGTCTATGTAACATAATGAATTTATTTTTTATTTGTAGGTGGTCGTTGTGTTATGAAAATGGATCACCATTGCCCATGGATAAATAATTGTGTAGGACATTACAATCATTGTCATTTTACAGCATTTTTAGCAAGTGCGGTTGGTGGGTGTTGTGTTTCCACATTTACACTAGTTTCTTGGGTGATGACTGTATTATCATTGAAACCATTATCATTTCCACCACCTTCTATATTTATTCTGATATTAGTTATCTTCAGTATCGGCTTGTCAATCGGTGTTATTCTTGCTGTTGGAACATTGCTTTATTTTCAAGTAAGATTATTATATTCTACGGCTAAATTGATATTTACATAAGATCGTTACATATGTCGTTATAATATTAATTATCTGTATTTTTTACAGCTACTATCTATAATAAAAAATAGAACAGAAATAGAAGCTTGGATTTCAGAGAAGGCTCATTATCGAAGATTTGGAACTAGAGACAAATTTGTTTATCCATACTCAAAAGGATGGCGTTTTAATTTACGGCAAGTTCTTACATGGGATTGTACACCAGTAGGTGATGGAATTCATTGGCCTGTTGTCGAAGGTTGTGACCAGTATACTTTAACGGTAATGTCATATACATTATTTTCTAAGTAAATATATTTTTTTATTGTATAGCTCATAAAAATCTAACACGCGATTGTTTCTATAATATTTCAGCGGGAACAATTAGCTCAGAAAAAAGATAAACGAAAGAGAGCTAAGACTTATAGAGTTATAGAAGAAGCATATGGATCGCGTTTACCATTAACACACGGTTGGGGCGTACTTTGTCATCCACCTTGCACCGATGAACCCCGTATTAAGCTCAAAGTTGGAGATATCGTAATCGTAACGCGGTGGAGAAAGTATGTTCACATAAAAAACCATTATTACTTATGAAAATGTTTAATCGATAAATCTTGTAGATACTGGTTATTTGGAGAGAAGAAGCAAAACGAGGAGAACGAGAAGCAAGTACGAACTCGTGGTTGGTTCCCACGGCCTTGTGCCATTGAAGTGATTGAGAACGAAGCATATTCCTCCGCCTTAACAAAATCAGATTAAAACATTCCTTCTCCGTGTAGAGATTTTATAGAGCATTTATGAATGTACCATTGAACAAACGGAAATATTTTTATCTAGTGTCTTGTATGTAAGTGTTTACGATGGATGAGTGTCTTTAAAAATTGTAATGATTTAATATGGAAGAAATTTTTTTTTAGAACAACTAACATTTGAAGTACCAGTTACTATATTTATTACGTAAGCGAAGAGATTAAATTACGTTTAAAGTTAATTTGCACAAAGCAAGATTTTATTGTACTTTTTCATTTCCTTTTTTTCTTTTTATATGAATATATTTGCGATAATATGTATTTAAAATATATGCAGAATGTAAAATTTTATTACACTTTTGTATATGAACGTTTAGTAACGGGAACTGTGTTTAATATACAACTACGTGTAAATATTTTGCCACCGTTATTACCGTTGTAAATAACACTTTCGTTATTTGTGCAACAGTGACTTATCCATTTATCGAGTGGCATTTTTTAATTCATCTGGTACAAAAGATTTCAATAATATAGATTCGTAATTTGTCATTCGTAGTGATTAACTTATTCTTCGAATAATTATAAAATAATACATTTCATCGAATTACATTTTTATGAATTTTGTAATCAATGAATAAATGTTTCATTGAAAACCGTGTTTGCGCGACTTTTATTTTAGCAAAACTAGTCGCGTATATTTTTATACTTTACATTGTGTCGACCTAAGGAGCTTGTGGAAAATCAATAACACTGTGAAAAGTAACACTGATCGACGGAGTACATCATAGCTTTGTACAAATACTACGTTAAGCTGCGTGATACATTTTTCCACGAATCAATTTAATAGGGTACAAAAATGACATGCGATGCAGGCACGTGCCCCTTGCACATTCTCCTATGTATTTTATTACTTTTAATCGATACAACTCGAAGCCCGTAATACGCAACGTTACACTATGCAATATTTCTAAAGAGTTTAACTACGATTCAACGAAGTAGCCTTACTTCTACAAAATTAAAAATACTTCCAAACGAAAATATTTTCATTATTCACGAATAAAATTGGGTCACTGGAGATATTACCCAACGGGATAAAAACAGGACATTCTTACTTTGGCACAAAATTAAATATATATTCAAATAGAAATGTTTCTATCGCTAACGAACCGACTTTATTTTAATTAAAAAATACATTTTCAAATATTTTTCATCTGCATCAAGAGATATTTTTCTAAGAGATATAGAGGCCAAGATATCGAATCGACGAACACGTGAATCTATAGGTTTTACATCTCCAGCATCATACTTTCGAAAATTTGTAACCCACTGAGCTGTTCCTTCGAAAGTGGGAAGGATTAAACGCGAAGGATATCGAAACACGATTCGCAGTCAGCTGCAGAATCAACGAAGGGATCGAAGTGAAAGTGACAATTAGCAAAGGTGAATTGTGCCAGCCTTTTATGATTCCATGGTGGGATCTGGCCACGTTTGAGTTACTCGCAGGAGGTCGAGTGGTGCAGTTCCCTTCCAGTCATTCTACCTCCAACACGATCATTTTTAATTTTACGTCCTTTTCTTATTAATCTAATCGTAGTAAGTGTCTTTCAATTTCCTTACTATTTTCCTCAAATTATTAAGGACAAAAGGGATACTTAAATACCTAATGCTCCTTTTTTCTTCTTCTTTTTTTTTTTTCTAAATTATATTGTCTAAATATTTTGTCAGACGTGTCAAATCATATGTCTTAATATATCTGAAAATAATTTTAACTATTTCAAAATAATAATTTCAATTCACAAATTCATTCCAAGCAGCCGAAAACTTCATTACTATCCTCGTTAATGCAAAAATCTAATACCGTCAGGAGCGCAAGAGGAGCGTCAAAAGACGAACATGAGCTTGATCAAGAGGAACGTGACGTTTGCTACATTGATCGTGCTTTCTTTGGTGTTCGTCGTGTACAGTTTCCCTGACGGTGCACCGGTGGATACTTGCGTGAAGCCATCGAAAGCCAACGAACCTAATCATGGCCAAGCGAAGTCGCAGTCCGTACAATCGAGTCCTTACGCTTTTACCGCCTCGTCGTCGCAATACGGTCCTGGATCTCAGATTACTGGTACGTTATCCGTCTCTTAACGAATCGTTCTTTACGTTTTTGCACATTTAAAGTGCCCATAAGTGCGCACTCAACTAATTACCACGTAAATTGGAAAATAAGAAAAATAAGAAACAAGACTACAATCAAACAATTTTTCTCCCGTTTGTAAAAAGAATTCAGTCGCAGTACGCATTGTTCTTCACAAAAGCTGATAAACTACTTAGCGAGGAAGAAGAAAATCGTTTCTCCAAAAAGGAAACGAGAGAATCTTATTTCCTTCGAAAGGGATGAAACGAGATAGTTGGACGTTTCGTCGCAAACAATTTCCCTTGTATTTCGTCGAAAAATTAGCGATACAGGGCGGGAACGATCGAATAGGAAAAGAATAACGGGACGAAGCCGATATAGGGAACAATCGATCCAATCAACGTGGATAACTCGAAACGCGTCTAAACGCTAACAATCGCGTATTTTGCGGCTCGGTCCGGTTCTGCATGTTCAATCATCGGAATAATAGCGTGAATCGTCTACGGGTGAAAAATACGTTTCTATGTAGACTTCGTCGAACACCAGCGAAATTACGTGCCTAAAATCCCTCTTATTCAGCCAACTTGTCGTGCGACGAAACGTTAGATCAAACTCACGTCCGAGTTTAACGTTTGCCTCACCTTCATAGTTTATCACGGTTAAATGACAGTTTCCTGAGTCACAAAATCGGTCTTCGAATTTCCGATCTCCGATGGAAATTTTGTAGGAACGCGAGAGAAATTTTTAGCTACGCTACTGCATTTTTTACTGTTCAAAGTTTAATGTCTGTAAGATGAATATTGATAAAATTTTCGACGAACAACGGACGCAGGATTTGCAGTGAAAGTAAAGATTTTTGCGGCGCTTCATCGAAGATTTCCATCGACGATCAAAGGGAGACAAACAATTTGATAAGAATTTGTTATATCGATGAATATTAATCGTAAGAACTAAGATGTGGAGAAGCTTGGTGAAAGCTTATTGGAATATTTTAATGACAACGACGTTTCTTCAACGATATAGACGAATAAATAAATTGAAAATCTAAAAAAGAATCGAAGAAACGGCTAGTGTCGTTTGATCGGACTAATCTTTAGGGTAGTCGGGTATGAAATTCGAATTTTTACTTTCTTATTATTCGTACTACTAGTAAAAAACGCGCGATAACAACGTACAATTTCATGAAATAGAAAGTAAAAATAAAAAGCACAATTTCTGAAAATGATTCATAACGAAGTTTACGA